GTCTTAACACTTTCTCCCAGAACTGGGCCGTCACAGCTGCAGTGAAAAGCATTTTGACTTCCTCTCTAGAGAAATTCAACAATTAACCTCATCCAGTAGAAATGTCTGTACACATATTTGTCCATCTCCGGGGAAAGAAGGATCAGAGGGATGGACACGATGTAAAAATGTACATTTGCACAAATGTACAATTACCTTGATGTAGCATGATGAATAAAAAGAGGCCGATAGTTTAGAAAGCTGTGAAATTTTTCTCTTTTTTTGTCATGTGGGTTGTGTACACAATGTTTATTTTACAGCCAACAAGAACTTAGACCAAAGTCAACAAACCAGGTATACTGGGTTCTCTTTTTTCTTGAAATATTTTCCAGAAATATTTAACTAGTTTAAAGTACTGCAGTACCAGCAGTTGTATACGGTTATAAAATCAAATAATTTAAATAAAGTGACAAGTTTCAATGTAAAACTAGGAAATAATACTGAAAAATGAGCTTGGAAAAGCCATCACAAAGACGCCCAACGTACAAAACATTGGAAAGAGCACTAGCAATTCAAGCACTTCAAATATGTACCAAAACATATAAAACCCACATTTCTCTTATGTGTACAAATACAGTATAAAGTGACTGTATTCTCTTAAAGATAAACCTTTGGCCCTATTTTATGAGCACATCTTGGAATACAGCACTGAGCACAGTTCACACTGAGGGAACAGTTCAGACACAAAGCAGAGCCAGTGCTATGGACACATAGTTCTGGCACTGAATGCTGATTTCCCAAGTGGTACCAAACGCTGTTACAAATACTGTATAAATCTGTTTAAAACCCTTTTAAAATATCCCCCCTTCATTTATAGCATATATATATAACAAAGGTTGAGTCCTATATATATATATATATATATAACAAAGGTTGAGTCAGGATTTTCTCTGATTAATGTCAATAAAATGTTTAGCAATGTTTCTTCAAGCAAAGAATGAAGCATCTTTCTTTTATTCATTTGGTTTGATGTGATGGTTGGTTCTGTGTGGCTGTGACAGTCCAAGTTAACATTAAAAGTAAGTTTTTTTTATTATTATTTTTGATTTATTCCAGTCTGACAAGGCCTAAGAGGTCCTCACACAGGGATGGAGATTTATGCCAGCATCACTCTATGAATAGCTCACAGTGATCGCTGTTCTCAACAGAGAGACAGTAACTCACTGAAGATACCCTCCCTCACAACCAGGAAAAAAAAAAACTAATTCTGCAGATCTGAACCCAGAATCCTGACACCTGGTTGGGCACCTGTGGAGAGGCGCCCAGAGTTTTCCCTGTGACGAGCCTTAGGGACATTCACGCTATTGGACACACAAAGTCATTTATCAGCCAACCATGGCACCAGGCCCATTCAGGATACAGATACTCAGTGAGACATAAAGCCCCAATTGCCTCCAGTGTCAGAGTGACACAATGCTGGGCACCAAAGTTACACAGCTCAATTTAAAGGCCTTAAAGAAAACAGTCTGTCAGAGCAGTTCTGTGCGTCCTTATAGAACAGCTGCATGCACAAAGAACCATCTAAAAAGAAGCACATGTTCCAACAGTCAGATGCCAAATGCTGTGTGTGATCAACTCTGTCCTCTGATACATCTGATGCCTCCTTCTTATAAAAGAAAGCTGCTGTAATACTAACTCAACAAGACAGTGTTCACATAAAATCAGTATTCAATCCAATTGAAAAGGCTTTTTTTTTCCAACATTCAATTCCTCAGTAAAAATGTTAATTTGCATTTAAAAAATACTATTTGGCGTGTTGGTCAACTGAAGCCCTGAAATTTTGACTAAAACTCGACTAATCGCGGGGGTGTGAAAGGCTCGGTAGCCTAAATTAATTATAAATAAACATAAAGGCTTTATATTAAAATCATTTTGACCTCATTATTTTGCAGTGTGAAAGCATGGCACAAACCTTTGACACACTGTCGGCTCTGACAGTGTTCTGATTGATGATTTCTAAATATATTCTACGTCAACTAGTGACATCAGCACAAGAACGGTTGAGGAATTTTTAGACAATTGTTTTTGTCATGTTATAATAATTGACAGACAACATCATTTTGCTGTGTGCACGTCTTCACCCAGAGACTGAACAAAGGAGCTCTGCTCTGCAGCCGAGACACAAATAGACTATTAACTTAAAATCTTTACACTTCAACACAGAAGGCTAGACCGCTTAAAGAAAAAAAATGTATTAACTGTTAGGGGTAATCTGAAAACACCCATTAGCACTGAAAACACCCATTAGCACTTGATACTTCCTCCACCTGATGAGATTAACACGCCCCCCCCAAAACAATAAATCGCCCTGTCAACAGGGAGATTTTATTCCTACTTTCACATTTATCACAGTTTGTCACGGTGAGTATTAGCCTAGTGATAGTTTTGTTTTGTTTGGGCTTTATTTTTGGAAATATTGACACGTATCAAGAGGTACAGATTGATGTCACAGGAAGATAATCCAGTAATTTAAAAAAACGTATTAGACAAAACAAAAAAGACAGAGTGACAACAATTCACTGACACCAGACAAGCAAAACCCACTCTGGCCTTTAAACAGTGAATAATAGAGCTCAGATAAATCCTTGTATTTGCCCACTTCAGAGCCCTTTGTGCCTCTGGAGAAGTCAGTAAACTCCACATGACTACACGGAGGTCTTTAGGAAGACCCGTCGGAGCTGAACACACCAATTACACCTCTGTCACAGCAGTGGCCCACAGCACTGCATCACACAAAGAGACAAACTATGTCACTCCTCACTGGCTTTTTATTTACAGTACAGTTATTCTCAGAGATCGGGTTAAGACCACGGAAATAGAGACAAAAGACAAGAAAAGATTTTTTAATTTGACTTTTGAATCGTCTCATAAACGTAGACAATAACACTACAGTGGTTACAGCATCAACTCTCTAAAATAATTTTAATTTTCAATACGTTCAAGATCTACGTCTATCTGTTAAGAATCTTTATAAAAGTCTGCACCAGATGAATAATTAGATTCCAGGTCTGGAATGATAGATAGATTAAACTGAGAAAGGACCCCAGTCGCATGTCATTTTATGTAATTCTTCTCATAAGGTAGTATAACTGAAAACAAGCTCATGTTCAACTTATAACAGAGTCCAACAAAACCTTAGGGACAGACTGACTTTTAAATTGTTCTTTGACAACAGCGCAGAGGCTGTCGCTGCTCCTGCTGCTGTTGTTGTATATGTTGTTTATGTATACATAAACTTGTCACTATGAAGCGACCCCTATAAAGATTGGTACTACTTTTCCAGTAAACATCAGCTCCCCACCTGGTAAATATTTGCTGCTACAATTAGCTCAAACTACACACGGTGTTGGGTTAGGAATGTCTTAGATATGACATGGTAAAATAATTCCTTTGTTGCCACACTAACTTCCCTGGCTATTACTTAAGGAAGTAAGTGAAACGTCTGAGTCACAAAAATACAAATACAAATCAATTTTCTTTTTCTTCTTTTATTTTGGATGTTGAAAAGTTCTTGGTGGGTAACAAACCCCAACAACTAATCTATAGCACACTAATGATTTTATCTAATCCTCATGGATTCCAAACAAGACCCCATTGACCCCACCACCACAAAACTACTTCAGTTACAATACTGGGGAGTCAAACTCAGCCCTGCTAGGGGCACAATCCCAGACAGGGGTCCCATACAGAACAGGAGCTTCTCAGGAGGACAGGAGGAGGACAAAAGACACTTCATGGAAATTTGCCTCATCTCACGTCACGTCTGGTTTGTGTTTCAAAAAAAAAAGAGAAAAAAAAGATAAATTCACACTACTTTTAAAGAACAATTGCCCTGTTAAATAAGATTATTCCATGTCAAAATGCAGAGAGATTATCCAGGAGTGATGCTTTTGTGACGTGGTAATTTGGTTTAGTAAAACAGAGGTCTTTTGCAATATTTTGTAGCTGATATATATTTTCTAATTTTAAAATTATTTGCTAGTATTTCATGATAACTTTCAAAATAATATGTAAACATACCCTAAAATAGAGGTACACACAAAAGATGCATGTTGCTACCAGTGCAGAATATTCCAAATTCAACTCAAAACAGATTCAAAAGATCTCATTGTACTAATATTTGTATAATAATACTAAAATATTTGTAATAACTTGTTTTCTTTATACTCATTTGTTTTAGGAAGAAACCTTTTTTACACGTGAGGCTGGCAAACACGTGGACTAAAATCACGTGACCCACATGTAAACAAGTCTACCATGATGAAAAAATGAAAACACTTCAATACAGCCCATAATTTATTATTATTATTCTTTTTACATTTTTTTGCTGTCCCGGGGTGTTTATTTTTCCGAACCTATCACGTGACCGCGGCAGGCTAACCACAGACGGACCTTTTCGATAAATGCAGTCAATTTATAAAATTAAACGTATCATACTGACTAATATTATGAAAAGAATAAATTATCTTTTTCTTACCATTGTCTGTGAACCACAGTTCAGTCTCTGGCTCTGTGGCTGACTACATGATTTATATGCAAGTATTGTGTTTCTTTGACAGGGCGACATTTTTGCATTGTTTTCTAGACCTTTCCAAATTTGCTGTTATGTAGTATGAACCGTTTATAGAAAAACAGTATTAATTGTTGTAATTGTGCACATTTTCTAAGAGAAAATCCAGCAGAAACCGTGTAACCTTTGTCATACATATAAATGTACACACAGTAAAGCTCGTAGTAGGGATAATGCCATGTTTTGCCGTCACTAAGGTTCAACGATTGTGACAGTCCTGCTATTGTCCTGTACCTCGGGGAAGAAAAAAAAACAACTACCTGCAACGACAATGTTTACACTAGCTCGACCGAAACTGAACCAGGCTGCAGCCTGTGGTATCGACGAAGAATGTCAGCCTCTGCATACGAGTGTCAATGTGCAAGGGTGAATATCGGTGAGGAAAGTTTACCTGAGGAATTCCTGCAGACAGGTGTCACAGAATCGGTGACCACAGGTGGACACCTGAACCGGTTCCCTCATCGCTTTGCTGCACAGCGGACACTGGAAGCGCCGCTTCGGCTTCTCCAGAAACTTGTAATCGAACCCAGGCATGGCGGTGGGGATCTATCCGATGATGGTGCTGCTGCTACCGCTGAGGGAAAATCTACAGGGCCTGTAAACGCTGACCGAGGTCTTGCAGCAGAATTGAGAAATTCAGCCGGAGCGTTGCTTCAGTGAATCGACAAAAGAAACGGTGATAGCAGGGTTCATTTTACATCATGTCCCTTCCGCCTGCTAATGATTCCGAAGGAGCAGTCCGTCTCTCTGCTTTGTGTCCTTTATCTCCTTCAGCTTCTCCTCTCTTTCTTTCCTGTTTTTTTTCCCTGCTTCTGCTGCAGCCTTCGAAGGCTTAAAGACAGAAATGAAAATAGTTCCTCCTTTTTGTCCCTACTGTCTGTCAGGGATCCAGCGTAGCCGTAAATGCCGCACTGACACAACGAACGACAATAATTGAAGACCAGTCTGTTTGGTTTGGCGAGGCCACGCCCATCAATCCACCCATAAGCGTCACTCCGCCCATTGAGTGCTGACAGGAAGCTGTTCAGTTTGATGGAAACTCTGACACGCATGTCATTAAATCATAATCGTAATCTAATTGTATTGTCCGTAGTAAAGATAAATACTACAAACTGTACATATATTATCATGATTTAGTGTGACAAAAGGACGGCAGAGAAGACAAAAATATAAATAACACATACATTTTCTAACAAAAATATTCACATTACAAAAGGCACTGGTTATGTTGACAAAAAAATACGACTACGTTTGTGTTCTGATTATAAAATTTAAAGAAACAAAACGTTGAAAAAATAAAGTCTAAACAATGTGGAGTTAGAGATGATTACCGCCCCCTGCTGGTCTCTTTACCAAAAAATAACACACGTGTGTTAGATTTTTTTTAATTAACGTCATTATAAAATTGTACCTCATCATATAGCAAGTACAATATTGAATAATAGAACGTATCTAACAAAAAAGCACAGACACTACTATATCATACTCCATTATAATAAACTGTTAAAGAAAAATATAAATAATAAATCTATTATCACTAGACGTCACTTTATACAGAAACATAAAGTAAGTGAAAAAAGAAAAATATAGAAAAAAAGGACATGTAATACGTTCCAATGAGAACGTAGACAGGGTGCATTTTATAAAGAACAGTCTTTTCTATACAGTCATTTACTATGGTCTTTGGCAGTTATACTATGATCTTAACACACATCTCTGGTTTCCCTTTTTAAGGTTTTTGAAATATGTTGTTTTCTATTGCTGTCAGTTTTTTTATACTTACAAATATAATTGTATAATTTGCATAATTTGCATTTATTTAAGCCCAGTTCTGTCGTTGTTGTCGTCTCTTACTTAAAGAGTAAATGTCTTAAAGAACCCATTATCATCTGGTTCTGGATTCCTGCTAATAAAGGTTTTACTTCAGTAAGGCACAAAGTTATGATAACATGATTGCAACAGTTTGGTACATTTTACTGATGACCTCTGAACTGGCATCTTTTTTGTGTGTATTATATCGAAGGATTCAACTGGGACTTGGGAGTGTCCAAACCAGTTTGACTTATTCTACCATGTTCAACCTGCAAGTGACGACAGAAGGTCAGCAACCACATGAAAGCAGCCTGAGGCTTCCTGTTGATTTGCATCACCAACACAGTACAAAATCCCCACTGTGACTCATACACAGACACACACCCACAAACACGCTCCGACAGTTCAGGTGTTGACCTTTTCTGTGTCTTGTCCCAGAATAATGTATTCTACATTAGTACCTGGAAGAAAATGAAACAAAAACACTAATGTTGAGGAGAAATTCTCAGTGGTAGAAAAAGTAAGGCCACAGCTGCAGAATGAAAGAGATCTTTGAGCTGCAGCACAGCTGAGCCTCCAGGAGTAAGCACAGGAAGCTATCACCTCACACTGCCATCAATGATGCTGTCAAGCCTCAGGACAACAGCCAAGAGGGCGTGGGTCTTTTTTTTTTTTTTGGAGAGGAAATTATCTTTGGACTGGATCCTCGAGCAATGCTAAAAAAAAAGAAGAAGGATTGGATGTCAGCAGAGTAAAAAACACTTCCATAATTAAAGCTGTAGTGTGGGAGTTTTTAAGTGCAACTACCAGGAACATCTTCCAGAAACATAGAATAGTGATAGTATGTGAAGCACAAACTTTTCCATGGCAACACTGGAAAATACTAGATGCTAAAAAAATATAGTAAGAAAAGTACTAAGACTCAAATTATACTTGCCTGGGTAAAATATCTCTGACCAACAAAATCCAGAAACCAAAGAGTGGACAAACAAGTGTTTAGAACACAACCTTAAACTTTTTCAAACAGAATTGTAAGAAATTCACTTTAGCTTCACATCCTGACAGGTTGCAGTGATCTCAACTTATAAACAACGTGATAGGGAGAAATGATTACGTTTTACTGCAAGTAGGGTGTTGCCATGACAACAAGCTACTGATGTCACAGAGAATGGGTGGCTCTCCTCCAGCTGCACTGCCTTTGGTTTCCCAGAATCCTCCTCTTTCCTACCCAGCCGGCCTCTGGTACCTTTTCCCCATGTGTACACCTCCCCATCTGTGAATTAAAACGAAGAAAAAAAACAACGATGACGGTGGTGTTCTGTCTGCAGGAGGATGCTGAAGGCAACACGATTGGTTGAAGTTTTGAATTTCTTTTCAAAAACGTGGAGGCAGCAACAGCTGATTCTCTGTGCAGAAAAAACATCAAACAGCCAAACCAGGCTGCCTCCAGCTTTTTACAACAATAAAGACATTTAAGGTCACATACACTACTGCAGTATTTCTATGTCAATGTCAATCAGTGTAGTGTCCTTATCAGTGAAGCCTCAGTTGAAGCTCCACTCAGTTCCTCTTTGTCATCCACTTAAAAAACTCTGCAAGAAACTTGTCGTCCAATTAAACTGTTTACTTTAAAAACAGTTGTTCAGAGTGTTATCAAAACTACAAAAATAGAAAAAGCTCAGAGAGTTAAACCATGCCTAGTCATTCTCACACAGTACAGGTGTGAGAATGACATTTCCCACATATTTTAAATATATCAAAAAAATAAATCAAACATTAATTCCCAGTTAACATATTAACTTATCACAAACATTAATGAACCAAACGTTCCTATAATGACTATCATGGTACACTGTGTATAGGCCTTTGACCTCGGGTCAATGTGTGGGTGTGTTTTTGGCTGACATCTCTGTGACTCTTCTGTCTGCAATGTCCCACCTCTTCCGGAACGAATCACACCCTTATCAGTCTTAATTCTTAGTTAAGTGACATGGATACCATCGTGCATTCCACAGCCGCTAATAAACCTGGGCAGACGTTACCCGCTCTGACCCGAGTGCACTGACATTTACAACAGAGAAGGTCACATCTCATGTAAGTAAACTTCACTCACCAGATCCAATGGCCAAGGTGAAAGCGTCTCCACAGGCAGCAGTGGTGATGCCCTGCAAGCCCGGGACAAGGTACGGAACACGGCTGCTATGACGAGAGCCGCAGCCCATTTGGCCGTGCTGGTTACTGCCAAAGGTAAAACACTGTCCTGCCTCTGGTGGAATGAACGTGGCAGAACAGCGGTGATGCACAACGTCTTGGAAAAGCTTTTACTTGCGACAGATTTCGAATACTTGAAAAAACATCAATCAATCACAAAATTATAAAAAACATATAAAGCATCTTAGGCCAGATTTAAGCCAGCATAAAATGCCAGTCCAATAAAATGCAGAACAAGATATTCCACAGAAAAGTTTTAACTAAAGCCTTGAAAAAAATTAGAAAAAGTTCCTCATCTCCTGAACCCCCATCACGAAGCCTTGAGTTGCATTCAGTTATTTTTTGACTGTCTTTAACAAAACTGCATTAACAAAAGTGACAAGGTTTTTTATCTACATGTACTGTACCTGTGACAGCTACAGAGTGGGCCGTTCCGATGTCAATGTACACAATCTTCTCACTGTTCAGTGGAGCTGTCTGAACAGGAGCGTATGAATGAACTTCTTCCACCTGATGTGAAGGAAGAGGTTCATCTCCCACTGTGATCTTATCCAAGCCAAGCTTGTTGAACCTGAAAGCATGAATGCAAATCATTAATAGGAAAAAAATTGCCAAATGTTGCTAGCAGTTAGCATATTTTAGCACTGTTTCTTCCATCCATTTTCTACCACTAAACCCTTTAAGGTTCGAGGGAGAGCCTCAGCCAATCACAGCGGTCAACAGGGTACAGCCTGAACACTGCGTTCGCCGGGCACATACAAAGACAAACAACCGTTCATTGATGAGAAATATCGTGAAAATAAAGTGCTGTATGTGCTGTGTTTGTGAAAACATGCATCTCCTGTACAAACATGTTAAATCTGAAAGTTATTTTTTGTATTTTCTGCTGACACAAAGGTACGGCTGCACCTCTTGCACCAGACCTATTAAACAAGAAAGAATGTATCCCTGTGAGAAAACCAGTCATTTGTCACTAGAGAAGAATGTAGTCCAACTGGTTGTGGACCAGTGCATCTTTCACTCACCACCACCCACATGCACATGCAGACCTCAGACTCCACAGTGACTTAACCAAAGAGCTTACAGTGAACAGATGAATGGCTGTTGTTGATTTAGAGATAGTAACTGTAAAAAAAAAATCACAAATGAGGAGAAACTGTGTGGCATTAGTGTTTTAGAAACAAGTAAGAACGACCATACTGGGTCCAGAGGACTTTTGAAATCACTGAGAACTTTACTTTATTAATTCATAGCAAACGCTGATTTTATCATTGTTGATTATGTGTTTGTAGAATGAAACACATTATTTGTTATTTCCATTGTTTTTTGTGCTTTGCCAGTGTTGTGATAAAGGGGGAATAAAGCCACAGTGATTGGCACCTTCTGCTTCTTCCCAGTCTATCTGTAAACCAGACACTTTTGATCACAACTGCTGTACTTTCCCATTCAAAGCCGAGCTTAAACTTTATCAGAGTCTTACACCTTAAGAACTTACTGGAAATATCTCATTTTTTGCTAATTAAGGTTTTATACATAATTGACTGATTTCATACTAGCATCAAAGTACAAAGAATCTGAAAAAGCCTATGAAGAATAAAGTCAGAATGTATTTCCCACAGACTCACTCTCTGGTTGCACAATCACTTTAGGTTCCCAGGCAATTGTGCTGACATTCTTTTTTATGTTTGGTTCAAGAGTTTACAGCTCAGAAAAACAAACTGCACAAAACAACTAACTGACAAAACAGTTAACGACCAGTAAGGAAACCAATGTGGTGACTCAGTTAGTTATTAAAGTCCTCACTTGCGGAACTAGTTGGCAGTTTGGGTTTAGGAGGGTCTATATTTAAATTTAGACCTTAAGCCACGTGTCAAACTCAAGGCCCGCGGGCTGGATGCTGTCCACTGATTTATTTTGTGAGGACCGCAGAATATTTCAATCAATTTTTTTTAGATAAAGTCTATGGTGCTTCAGAGCTTATATTGACCATTTATTACCACTACAACAATGTATTCCATAATGTTGAGAGATCTATGAAGGAGAAGCAGCAACACTTCATCAACTTCACCCAAAACCTGATTCATCTAGTTCTGAACTGAGATATCTGTGTTTGTCTTGAAAAAGTATGCCACCTATAGGCAACAAAAAAAAAGCCAGATAAATTAAGAATATCTCTTACGGTTCATGGTCAGGATCAGGAATGGATCAGGAATGTCTGGTTTCTAATTAAAGAGTAAAGACTGTGACAAAATGGCTGCACATCACCAAATACCAGTCGGTGCAGATGGTTTGACGACCACAAAAACTATCACAAATATGTCTGATTGAGACCAACAGAAAAGTCTCTCATGGCACTAACCTAAATCCAACAGGAAGTTGACCATTTTTAGATCAATGCTCAGGTCATGGCTAAATGTGTACAGTGAAAGAAGACATCCTTGTCCCCCTGTATTAATCAATACAACTTCAAATGTGTAAAGTTTCTTATGTCAAAATATATTTTATATATTTAACCACATTATATAAATCTAGAGTGACTTGACTTCAGCGTTCGTCTTAAGAAAACAAGTATTACCTGTTGCTTCCACAGGCCACAATCTTGTACTGTGTACTGACAATCATGGTACAGTCCACTCCACAGACTACTCTCTGGGCCTCAAATTCTACAGGTAAACAGACCTGTTGGGGAGAATTGTGGGTATGTTGGTTGCCCAGCCCAAGACGACCTTTCAGACAGAGTGACAGAGAGAAGGACTGAGATAAAGAGTTCCGGTGCTCCGGTCATAAATCACAGCACGTGACACTAAGAGTATACGTACAAAAATGCAGTGAATTTTAAAAACATGGCCTAATGAACTCTACCATTGTCTCCTCTTCCCCAGGCAAATACTTCCTTTTCATTGGTCACAGCGACAACATGGGAGGCACCACATGACACCTGAACCAGCTCGTAGCCGAGCAGGGCCTCCACGATTTTGGGCTGAGAACAAAAACAGAGGGACTGTGTTATTTTAAATGTTTGTAGTCCAGTTCCTGTATTCTTCAGACTTCAGGCACAAACACCAAGAAATGTCCAGTGATTGTGACCATCCATCCACGAAGTCGCCAGAACTCAGGGGTTGCTTTGAGACTAAACGAAAAGCCTCCTCTGAACTACATCCACATTATATTTTGAAAAATAATAGTTTAGCATTTAATCACATTATGATATGAAGTGTTCTATAAGTATATTCAATATTATAAATACAACATGGAGTTGTTGTCCTGTACCTGGGTTACATCATTGAAGTTACCGTGTCCAAGACAGCCATTGCTCCCACTGCCAAAGGTCATGATGATGCCTCTGTCTGCAGTTAAAAAAAAAAAAAAGAAATTCAATTTAAATCTCAGATTGATTTAGGTGTAATGTATGAGTAAGAAGTGAAATATATCTAACAATAGATTTAGGAAACATTTATCTATTATTATATTTATTTATTTATCTATCTATATTATTATATTATAAATATTTTTGTTCTATTCTCAATAATGTTTATACTAATGTGTAGATTTTTTTACAGTTTTAGTAATAATTTACTTAGTAACTTTTGGTTGGATAGAAGTTAAGCTGTTGTGCAGTAGCCTGAGATTAAATACACTGGAATAAAATAAACACTGATTTCCTGATGATCACGATCAGACTGTGGTCAGTTGACAGCACTGAGCAGTGAAGTAGTTGGTGACTGCTGTAGAGACCAGCACACTGACCTGTCATGCAGGTGGTAAACAGATCTCCACAGGACACAGACTTGATGGTTACTCCAGACTGACCCTCCAGGAAACGAGACACAAACTGAGGCTGCATCTGGTCTACGACACCAAAATGACTTGTTTCACCGGATCCCACAGATGGAGCCTGAGGTGAGTCAAATGTAATTAAAAAAAATATATTAAAAAGTATATAAAATTGACTTCAAAATAAACATTTTAAAATCCCATCTGTTTAGTAGATGTTTTTATTTTCTGTACACCGACCTCCCATGTTATCAGACGACCTGACTTGGTGATGCCCATCTTCTGTGTGCGGCCCAGTGACACCTGAAGCACCTCTGTGTTGAGCATTGGCAATCGTAGGGGCGTAGAAATGCCACTTCCCCATGTGTATACTGAAGACAGAGGGAGGGAGTGAACCTTCCCTGGTCCAAGACCAACTGCATCATCTGGGGAGATTCAAGAAGACAGTGACAGAATACAGTAGAGTTAATGTAATGGAGGCTTTGACTTGTTAAATCTATGTTATTTTATTGCATTGCTGTGTCTGTGATTTCAGGTGCATATCTTTATTCTCTTTTTTCTTTATTCAACCGACCTCTGGACCTGTTGGTAGGAACTCTGCCTCCCGGCCTTCCTTGAGAACAAGTTTGCACAGTGGACAATGGTTTTTCTATCCTAAAAAATATGTTGAATTTGTGTTGAATAAAAGCAAGAAAAACAATGAACTATATAAATTGTACAAAAGCTGTATTGTATGTACTACTGTCTCTAGTCCTACCTGCGCATTTTAACATTGCCTATATCAGTGTAGAGGTTGAACAAAGGTCTGATACATATGGGCAGAGCCATGATTTCGTTGAGTTGAGGCCGTTTGGAGGGATCCAGATTGAGCATGTTGAGGATGAGCTGTCGCAACTCTGGGCTGTACCGGTCTGAAATCGGAGCAAATGTTCCGCTCATGATCTTCAGAACCAGGGCAGGCAGATTCTTAAAGCAAAAACCAAACAGTCACAGGTAACTATATATACTGTAACCCACTTTCCTTCTGCAGTATTAGGGTTTTTACAAGACAGGTAGGGGGAAATCTGTCTGTCTATTCTTCTTATTCCAAATCCTTTGGAATTTGGTAGTTTTCCGCTCAAAAAATATTTGTTATCAAGATAAAAAAATATGAGAGCAGATTGGAAACACTTCATGCACTTATTTGTTTCCGTGTCAGTCATGCTGTCAAATTAAACCTACCTTAATCTCGTAAAAATGATTTTTAGCAATAGTTAACTACCTCAGGATGGAGCTAGGTACTAAATCCTACCTTCTGACAGTACCTTTTGAGTAGGATTTTTTTTTTTTATAAAATTATTTTCCCTACTGCTGCTTCGAAGGCTCTCTTCAAGCTGGCTAGCTCATACAGCACACATCCCAGGGCCCAGATGTCACTCTTCTGGTTATACGGTTTTCCTTCACAAAGCTCTGGTGAAATGTAGCAGGGAGTTCCAACTACCTGCAGAGTACACAAATGAAGGGGTCATTCATGCTATGCTAGCAGGTGTTAGCATTCAACAGATCCAGGTACCGTCGTATCGTCTTACAGTGTAGGCTTTGCTTTTGCTGACAAGAATTTTCGAGATGCCAAAGTCACCAATTTTGACGATGGTCTGGTGCTTGTCCAGTAGAATGTTCTGAGTCTTCAGGTCCCGGTGCAGGATGAGCTTGTTGTGGACATGGTACAAAGCCAATAAGATCTGTACAAAGAAGTGAAGAATTGTGTCCTCGTCGAGCAGGGAGTTGCAGCGCTTTTGGATGTAATCTGCCAGAGTTCCACCTGCATGAAGGAAACGAAACAGCTAAAGGCTTAGAATTGTGTCAATCAATCATGTTTTGACTTTTTAAACTGATGATGTTTAAACTGTTTAATGTGACACACATTTTCAAACTTGATTTTATACAGTAACAGTCACCAGTGCTACAACATGTGTAATGATAGAATATTTATTCAATTGTATGCTGCCCTTTAACCCTGGTCATGACCCAGACAGCCTGTAATGAGAGATCACAGTAAAGTACCTGGTGCGTACTCCATGGCTATCATGAGAGCTTTGTCTTCCAGGAAGTTCTCGTAGTACTCAATGATATTTGGGTGGTTAAGCAGTTTTAGAACCTGACACTCATTCTGAGCTGCCAGACGTTCGTCTCGAGACATCTGCTCCACCGGGATTTCCTTCAAGATGACAAAGGCTCCATCGCTACGCCGCCGGCACAAGTGGACAATACTGACAAGTGAGAAAACAAAGAAGGTTTGTAGACAGAGTGTTCTCAACAAACAACATTGTGGTCTGTGTGAAATTTGGCAGTGTGTGAAAGTGAGCCATTCACTGTAAATAAATGTAAACGTACAAATGTGTAAGTGAAAGGGTGTCAGTGTCAGTGGGGATCTTGGAACATAATAAAGACAAAAACAAACATGTTGATATACAGCGAGTGAAGATCATTTACCAGTTATTAATTAAGAATAATGTCTGGTTTTTATTTTTATCAAATATAATGAAAACTTTTTTCCTTAATTATCCAATGTACGTTTATACAGATTAGTTCAATGTATTGACTCCTTTATCGACGTTCGTGGTCGTATTTTCAGTTCAATTCATGTATTTTATAAAGTTTTGATACTAAACTAAACTAAAACCGTGTGCTACAAAAAACAGTCCACCAGACACACTTGGATTTGTGTCCTACGTTAAAGAAAGTTTTAAAAAGTGGATGATAAACATAAAAACATGTCGTAAACGTTGGATTATTGAGAAAGGTATAACACTTATCCGTATAAGGTAGCCTTTGTTTCACGCGTTTTATAAACTGTGATGTGTTAACTTCTTTACTGTTTGCAAATTCGACGCACCGTTACTTTTCAGAAAGTACCCAGAACTTCCGGTCCATTTTTCCCTCTGCCCACGTCCAACAGATAAATCAGGGACAAAGCAGGACGTATGAAAGTGACTTAAATTGTCAGTAAACCTTTCACATACCCGAAAGCTCCTCTTCCAACGACTTTGATTTTTTCGTACTTTTCCATCTCCACCATAGACGTTGCTGTCGTTTCTAGGCAACCTCATCTATAGAAAGCCACGAGGGACAAAAGCAAAGCAACAAATTCGATTTTTTTTTACCCCCAAATCTTACAACTTCCTTACAACTTAGACTTTCCCACAGATGTACTGCATTATTATGTGTCAAGCGTGTAAGAATTACTATTGTTTTTAAAGAAATCTCATTAAATGTAATTATTTAATCCACAAAAACATTTTGTATGAGAGGTGAACCGTCATTCAAGTACAATAGCCCGGCAGAAAGTTATTAACAGAAGATTGTTGTTGTTTATACTACAGTGTATCTTACAAATAAGTTCTATTTACGGGTATTAAAAGTACAGTAATATAATATTAGGTTTTGAAAACATGTTGGCCAAACGATGATGGATAGCATCTGCCTGAGATTGAAGAACCCAATAGAAATTCTACTGTGAAACATTAGTTTCGTTTGCCATCTGCTGGTGACATTTGGGATCTACGCTCTAAGATGACAAACACGGTCATTTACATAATTGCGCAGGACAACAATGAAGGAAGGATTATTTCTTTACTAAATACCCCCTCCAAAAAAAAACTAATTAGTTTTCATTGTTACAGAAAAGCTTCACGTGTGTCATATGAGTTGAAACCCTTCTTTTTTTCTCCAGAACAAGTTGTGATTAGAGTTTTGTAACATGGTAGGTTATACTAAAAAACAACAGGCATTGAAGAATGACACCAGTTAACCTGGTTTTAGCTGACAGTTGCAGCAGCCGGCCGGGTTTTCTGTTGTTGTAAAAGATTGGACATGCTCTCCTACAACTAAAATGTTGTTATTTTAATAACTGTCGTTTTTACTTTTGCAAAAGCAGCTGGACCATGTTTATAAGGCCGTGGTTTGTGTGGGTGTGTGTTGGCAGGAATCTGGTGATAGAATACATATCACGATACAGGGGCAACTCTACTTGAGTCTCTTAAGTATACTTTACTGCCTGCTCCTGGGTGGAATACAATGTTTATATAATTTGGTCTTGGGTGGTTCATTGTAAGTCAGGAGATGATTGGTTTCCATAACACTGTTCAGCCACTGGCTTTTTATGTGTTGGCTTTAAAGTAGAAGTTGAAATGAAAATGAAGTTTAACCTCAAACATTTAATTCTCACAACTGTTAATGGGGAGGAAAAAACTAATTAAGGCCTGAATGATGCGTCCGATTTGCACAAAAGTCCTGTAGTATTTTTTTCGCAAAATTAGTCCCTTAGTACTAATAGCTGAGGGATATTAGCACAAATAATCCCGTGATACTTTTAACAACTTATGTTTGTGTTTTGTCGTACTTGTGCTAACGGTATAGGTTGCTGAAGGAGGTGCTGTCACAGACTGCCATAGAGGAGAGAAGCGTCACTCATGGTTCAACCTCTGCCCCTCCCTATGAGAGGTTCCAAGCCTGAATGATGCGTCCAACAGCAGCAACAGCAGTAACAGCAGCAGCAGCAGCAACAACACCCACTCCTGCTCTCCTCACTCCATTCGGCCAAGACAGGCGCGTCTACGGCGACGGCGGCAAAACGAAGAGAACCGTCTGCGGAAGAGAAAAACACGATAGCGGTGACAGGAATCCTCTGGAAGAAGGAACAGAAGCGGGAAAACAACATTGGGATGTGGGGGCGGATACGCGGGGACAGTTCTTCTCATAGTTGTGCTCAAAGGATCTAGGAGAGGAACATTATAGAGAAGGAAAAGGGATCTCCTGCAGCAGGAGCGCCAACAGAGCCTCCTCGTCACCCTCTGGGGGACACTCCTTTCACATACTTGGCATACCCGTCCAACAGAAACAGCGGAGGAGATACTTAAAAAGCTCGCAGCGATAGGAAGGGAGGCGCTGTCTGTTTGTTTTGACAGGAGCGCTCAGGATGGAGGCCCTGCTGCCTGTGGTCAAGAGCCACCCGGGAGCCTCGGTGCTGGTGATCGCGCTGCTCTTCAGGGCCACGCACCACCTTCTGAGGAGGCTGCCGCTGCCTGAGGTGGTCAAGAAGGATGAGATGCGATGCTGGAAGTGGAGGAACCTCTCGGTGTCCATGGTGCACTCACTGCTGACTGGAGCATGGGCCCTCACCTGGTAAGTCCATCTGTCCATCCAGTCGAACATCCATCCATCTGTCAGACAGCAACACCTGTATGACTGACTGTCATCACCTGTGGAATGAGCGCCTTCGTAACTTTAATTAGTAAAGACTTAATTTAACATCCTGTTATAACAATTTGCTAATTAGCCGAACCACTAATCTGTTACATTTTGCGGAGACAGTCGATATTTATTTGGTGTCGATAAAGTAAATTATAAACTGGCAGCTTTTAAGAAGATTTCATACAACATATGTATTGACTCATCTGTAAACCTTGTGTGAAGTCTTGAAAACAGACTGGAAGTGCAGACGGTGTCCACATACTTAAAACAGATTAAATTATGATTATGTAATGGACTTCAGCCATTATTCTCTTCAGCAAATCACTAAAAAAAATCACTAAACTATTTGTTTCATGTTAAAAAAAGTCGTACTTACATTAAACAGTTGGGGTTGGGTTTGTTATTTTGTCACATTACTGTAGTTTTTCATTAATTAAAAAGGATTTTCTCATAACTAAACATGTTATTTTACATTGGTTGTCCATCATTGGTGTGTAAGAACAGAGGTGGGATTCTCACCGACCCAGCAGTTGGTTTAAGGTCGGACCACAGAGAAATCTGAAGACTTTAGAGTTGTTTCTTTATATTTTGATGTAGGAAATAGATCTGGACTGCAGACAGGCAAGTCAACACACACACACACACGTACACACGCTGTTGTTAACAAAGCCATAATAGATGTTCTTTTTTTTCTCCTTGTTGCTGTAATGCAAAAATGAAACTTCTGTATGTCAAGCAGTCTGCAGTGCCGTGGTTATAACTAAACACAGCAGACAAACAGTTGACGTTAAATGAACTGTACTTAATGTACAGTATATTCTCAAAGGTAAAAAAAAGACACTTGATTCGTTGACTGACAAATGTCCAAGAAACATTGGATAGCCATGACAACTTAAAACTCTTACGACATCAGTATAATCTGTGTTGACTTCCTCTGAAACATGATGCACGTGTAGAAAAAGAGCCAGCAGTTTACTTCAAGTTTTCAAGTTTATAACAAAATTGTAAACAATTTTATATTGAAACAAAATAGAGGAGATTCTGAGGATCCACCAACAATGTTGTTCAAAATTTTAAAAACAAGTTTTTTTTCTCTCTTTTTGCAACAAACCTAAAGAATGATTTCTGTTTAGTAATCTGGCAGACAGAGTCTCATAGGAACACCATTGTCTATTGATTGTCCACATGGTTATGTGTAGGAGTGTTGTGCATGTGACTATGTGTGTAAGTGTGTGTGTGCGAGTGTGTGTGTGTGTGAGTGTGTGCCTTAGTAACAGTCTGTGGCAGTCTGCAGAAGAAAGCATGTTTAGACAGTGGAGACAGTGTACACAGTGACAGGTCTTAAAGTGAGCAGAGAAAAATGAAGCAGACTGAAGCACACACACATACACACACACACACACACAGACACACAAAGCTGTTTTTGACATTTCCCTGAAATATCGTGTTAGAGAGAGTTTTTGTTTCAGTTAAAAAAATCTCACTTTTCACGCCATCACTGTACTACTGGAGATACACAAAGAATGTGTCAACAGGAAAAACCTGTCAGCTGAAAGACTGGGATGTGAAAGAATTTTCTGGGGCGTGGACAATCCTGTGACTCACTTTTTAACATTGAGAAGTAGGACAAAGGCCAGTGTTTTCAGTCACTTATCACTGTGTTCAACACTTACAGGAACACAGTGGTGGAGTGGTAATGTTGCCTTTACATAGAGCACAGACAGACAAATAACAGCAGGTAGATCTATGTGTTGTACATCTGTATCCATCTGTGGCCAATCCAAATGATGGAAACATTCACTGATGGCTGGTTTGGAAAATAAAAATAAAATAAGAAATATGTAGTATTCAGACAGAAGGAGGCAGAAATACACTAACATGGAACAAAAAACAAACACTGTTGAACAGACTTTGTCTCTATTTGTTCAGAAATAAAATGTGAGCTGAGACTCAGATGTGTAACTTATTTTTTCCCAGTGTGTTGGTTTGGCCTGAGACACTGCGCAACATCCACTCCTACCACACTCCTCTCTCCTACCTGCTGGTCTGCGTCTCAACAGGTCAGTGAATGAACCACGGCAAAAAGCTTGTTTTACAAGAGGGTTCTGTGTTGGTGACAGTATGTGTTGATGTCCTGAATGTAAACTTTACACTTATTGGTAACACTGAAAACAAAACTGAGAATTGTTTAGGTCTATTTATTGACAACGGTTGCAGTGAAAAACAACTATGAAGTTAGCAAAAACAACAGCTATGAAGTTAGAAAAAAAACCCAAATATTTAGTTAGCGAAAAACAACAACTACTGTTGTTGACCTGCAGTATTCTGAGAGCTCTGCACGAGCAACAGCTGCTGGTAACAAAGTACGGCTCTATCAACGTTCTATCTCCGTGGACATCACAGTATTTTCATAACTTTCAGTTGAAATGATGATTTTGGCTCCTGTGAAAAGCACTGTGTTGATTTTCCACATATGATGCTGTAGTTCAGTGTGCCATGGTGCTGAGCCAGCGCTCTGGCCACTCACTCGGCTTCATCCCAGGAAAAAAGCTGAGCATGTGGCCCAGGGGCTTCATTTCTGGGAGTCCCCAAAGTTAGTCGTCCATAGACCTTGTATGATAGGCATTATGGGATTGGCAGCAGTAGGAGCCAATACTGATCATGTAAGTGTCTGCTAAATGCACAAGTATAAATGATAATAGTAAAATGTCAGGTGCATTAGTTATCACTAATTATTGAGGGCCATACAGTTCTTGATTTTTATTTTTTCAAAGTGGCAAACGTCTTAAATGTTTTTTAAGTAACACACCTACCCTTGTTTTGGTGTTGTTTCCTCTTACTTCCTTGTTTTGATTATACACCACATGTCAAGCACAAACTGCAATTTGCAACATTGCCGTCATACCTCTGTCGAGGACATGTTGTGTTGGCTCTTGTTGCCGGTTTTAGCTCACGGGTTATTGGTTCTACTGTGGCACAGAGCCGTTAGACTGACGGCTGTCTGATCAGTGTATGGACGGCTAACTCTGGAAACCTCTGTGCATCATTTGGATGAGTCATCAGCCAGAATTACATTTTCAACTGAAAGAATTGAACACATTATCGACCAACATTCTGCTGGAACCTGTTACTGCAAAGTTAGATCACAGTCTGTAGCTTTCTCAAACCTGGCATCTTGAGCCTGGGGTCAAACTGAAATGTACATCTATGTAGGTATGATATTTTCTTGCTTAACACCACCATGTAATGACCATAAATCACAAGTGGGTGTTTCGTCTTAATCACCTCCGGCTCTTACGATCAGGCCCTGAGGAGAGGTCTGTCTGACTTCTCCTTTTGTCAGTGGTTGGACTTTATTTGCATCAGTGTGTTACCATGGGAGAACAAATCTGTGGAGGTTTGTTTTAACAACCATAAACAGCTACAGCTGAAATGTTGTTTGACATTAAGCCACAACAAGAGCGTGTCATTCACAGAGAAGACCTAATAAACAGATGACTCATGTCTTAAAATCATGATTTAAAGAGAGTTAGGATGTGGAGTGTATTGTTTATGTTTTAAAAATAAATACCAAAAGAAAGTAAAATGGGATTAACGTTTGGAGTAAATAATCTGTGATATATATATGTGTATAAATTGAATCAGAGTATGAGTCGCAAACCCAGCCAAAGGATGAAAAAAAAGTGCGACTTTTACTCTGGAAAATACAGTAATCGTAAAGGCAGTATCTACAAAGTAAATACATTTATGTACTTTTCTCCACCTACAGGATACTTTGTGCAAGATGCAGCTGACATCATCTTTACAGGACATGCAAGAGGATCATGGGAGTTCTTACTCCATCATGCACTGGTAAGAAGACTTGACTGGAAGTCCAGAATCTGGTGATACAAATAATACAATATATTGGGATATACTGCAGTACCATAGGCACAACGATATATTGAGTTTATGTTATATTTGATCCAGTCCTGTAGAATATTGATACAGTATTGTGAAAATGAAATATTGTTCAGTAAATCGACCCTAACACCCTTAATTGGTTTAAAGTAAATTCAAACATATAAACAGATAAATGAAGCGAAATAAACATGCAAAAATCAAATCAAATCTGAAGTCACACAGAGCCTAATGTCCTGAGGTCATGACCAGTGCGGTTTTGTTTATTCAAATATGGGTTTTGTTAGTTCATGATTCAAACGTACATCTGTTACGAGGACAGAAACCGTTAAACCTCCTGATGTTTACTCTGCCAACGTCTCTGCCTCTCCCCTGTCTCCTCAGGTCATCTGGTGTTTCCTCTACACGCTCTACACGCAGATCTACGTCGCCGGAGCCGTCCTCGCTCTCTTTGTAGAAGTCAACAGCGTCACTCTACACATGCGGCTGATGCTGAAACTGGCCAATGCTCAGTCCACCTCCATCTACCAGTTCAACAAGTTTGCCAACTTCTTCACATACGTCACCTTTCGACTCAGCACTCAGTTCTATCTCACCTGGTACATCATCCACAACTACTCCTGGCTGGACCACGGTGGATACTTCCTGGTCACCATGATGATGATGAATGTGATGATCTCCATTTA